CGCGATTTTGCGCTATCATACTGGGTGTATGGTCGGCTGTGTGCGATTTTGCGAGTGTGGTAAAATCGCATAACAGCAAAATCGCATAACAGCCGAGCATACACCCAGCAGCGCTGCTGATGCCTGAACGGTATGTGGAATGAAGTGGGCGGGCATCGGGAGGCCACTATGGCACGGGGCAAGCACTATGGGCAGTCTATCTGAAGTGTACCTGGCGTATAAGACGACCCCCCACTTGGAGGCATATTTTTCAGGGCCAAAAAATCGTCTTATACGCCGGCAAATACGGTATATATTGTTTATATTTTTATTGATTTCAAAGAGGAAGGGAGAGGGAAAAGAAACATAAATGATAAGAGAGAATCATGGACTGGCTACCTCCTGTACCCCCACTGAGGATTGAGCCCGCAACCCGGGCATGTGCCCTAACCAGGAATCGAACTGCAACCTCCTGGTTCATAGGTTGACGCTCAACCACTGAGCCACACCAGCCGAGCAGAGGGAATATTTTTAACAGTAGTTCAAAACTGTCTGACATAAACAATTAGATGAGTGGAGGTGCTTTTTATTGAGATGGGAAGTATTAAAATATACATTTAAAATGGGAATATTGAATAACTCATTTTTGGATATTTTAAATCCTAGTAAAAATGTAAGGTAAGCAGTTAATAGATAAGTTTTTATCTCAGAAGTGAAACCTAAGCTAAAAATATACATTTGGGACACATCAGCAAATAAATGATATTAAAACCATGAAATCATCTAGAGAAAATATAGAGAATGAGGAGAAGAGAGTCCAGGACTAAGTAAGAAGAAGCCAAATAATTAGGAAGAATACCCATAAGTGAGTGTTTTGGGGGAGGCAAAAGAGCAAATGTTTTAAAAAGGATGGTAGTGTTAATTATCAGATAATTTGAGAAGCTAAGTAAGATGGGGATGAAGACATGTTGATTCGATTTGGTACTTTGAAGGTTTGGGGAACACTGACAAAGTTTGGATACAGTGTTAGATGTGGAAGATGGGATAGGTTGAGGAAGACTGGGCAGTGAGAGTAGAGACAGGAGAGAATAGAAGTCTGTTAAGAAGTTTGGCTACCAAGTGTAGCAGAAAAATGGAGTGGTAGCTTGAGTGGGATGTGAGGTGGAGGATTATTTTTAAAGTAGGAATTCCTAGAGCTGTTTTAGAGCTTTCATTTCTTTATTGTATGCCAATGGGAATGAACTCATCTATCAGAACACCCAAAACATGTGTTTGCCTGAAAGATAGTAGCCGGGAAAAGGGAATTGATATATTCTCAGGTACTATAGATCATCCTCTTGGCATGGGATAGTGCCTCTCTTATGCTGCCCTGGGTGGTCGTTGGCAGGGAGTAACCTAGAGGTACCGTCTAGCAGAGCTTCCCTAGTAGAGCTCTAGACCAGAGGTTCTCAGACTTGGGTGTGGTCGGAATCACCTGGAGGCTAGTGCAGACCCCAGGGGCCGGCTCCTGGAGTAGCAGATGGCCAGGGCTCTTGTGTCTTTTCCAGTTTGCTCAGGTGGGTCTCAAGCTGTTGTGCACTAGAGTCACATGGGCGGATGCTTGTTGAGACATAATTGCGCTGCCCAGTCAGAATTTCTAATTCAGTAGGACTGCGGTTCCCAGGTGATGCTGATGGTGCTGGTGGGAAACCACAGTTTGAGAACCAATTGCATAGCAGTCATTTAGGCCTTCAGCATTGACATTGGCTTGTCAGTGTTTCCACAATCAAATCAGACGTCCTGGGATGATTTTTTTCCCCAGGAATTTTTAGGAAAAATTTAGAGAGATCAGAGTAGAAGACATTTGACTCTGAACATGACTTAATTGAATATTTTATTAAGATCTGTTACCAGCTTATATACAACAATGATTCTAGTTCAGGAAGAGGGGGGAAATTGGGGGAGAAGGCTGGTTTCAGTATTCTACCCAACTTCATCCACCTATAGTGTGCCCTCCACCCCACCAGGCATGTAAATCTACTTTGAGAACTTGTAATTTAGAGCTTTCCTTTGATATTCTTATTCAAATGTGTTAATTGTGCTTTTACATTTGTGAATCATTTAGAATTTCAAGATTCATCTTGGATTTTAATCACTAACAACAAAAGCCATGTTTTATTTGGTATACTATACTTGTTTTTAGGAATTGAATATAATATAGGAGAACTTACTTTGAAAAGTATTTCAATCCACTTGGACTGAAAAATTATCTTGATTAAAAATGCCTTTATGATTACATATTTAGATAATTTTACAAGGCAGAGTATTGCCCAGCGAGAAGAAATCAGCATTCTTGGTGCAACCCTCAACGATGTAGCTAAAGAAAAGGAATGCCTGCAAGCATGCTTGGATAAAAAGTCTGAGAATATTGCATCCCTTGGAGAGAGTTTGGCCATGAAAGTATGTTCTGAGAACTGTGGTTTAAAAGAAGTTTTTGCACTGGAATCTGAATAAAATAATAGGTTCTCTCAAAATTTTTCTAGAGAGCTGAAACTTAAAAATGTGATTTTGAAATATTTCAGAATAGTCTTAAAAAATGTGTTCTTTCTCTCACCAATTTGTTGTGAACATGCACTGACAAGAACTAATTCAAATATCAAATATTCAAATTAAAAAGAAAGCAGTGAGATTGATTTCTTTTTAAAAGCACACCAAAACTTATACCTCCAGGGAGCCACTGTGGGAGGCAATATGTTTATTCCATTAAAACTGCCTTTGTAATTGTGTTCAGAACTAGATGCAGGTTTTTACATTGTCCTTAGTCATTGAGACTAGACCATATGGCAGGGGTGAGGAACCTCCAGCCTGTTAGCGATACAAGACGTGCAACATCATTTGATCTGGCCCTGCTAACACAACTGCAGGCAGACTCAAAATTCAACAAACACAGGACCTTCTTTATAGCAACATAATAAAATCAGTGAATTATATTAAGCAAATGATATTATAAATACCCAAATGACCCTTGGCAGGAAAAAGGTCCCCCTCCCTGTCATATGGAGTTGGTAAATAAAGCTGGATGATAATCTCCATTCCTCAGGTTTTGTTGTTCAGACAACATAAAAGCTGTTGCCAAAAAGGCAAGGAAATATTCATACCCTTTTCTTGCTTATAAAGTGGTTCTGAAGGCAATTCCAAAACTGTTTTCCACAGATGTCATAAGTAAAGCAGCATCATTGGAATAAGGCCTTGCCCCTCTCTAAGGGAACTAATTCCTTCATCTGTCCACCCATAAAACAAGCATTTATTGACCTGTACCAGGTATATTATGTTAGAAATTGAGGAGGAGTGGACATGCCTTCCGAAGCCTGAAGCA